CTTCCTTTAATATATAAAATATATGTATTTATATTCTTATAAGTTCTAATATATTAGCTATTAATAAAACTTCTTTTTATTAATTAAGCCTATTATATATTAAATCTACTATTAAGAAATATAATACTTTAATAATACTTATTAGTATACCTTATATAACCTATTAATAATATACCTAATATAGCTTAATTTATATATAACCCTAAGAACTAATTATTATATTAACTATTATATAATAAGATAAAAGATCAGGTTATATTTATTATTATAATAATTATAATAATACTTATAGCTATTTATAAAGCCTTATTATATTATTATATAAATTAAGTATAATAAAGTTTTATATAATTAGTAAAAATTAATAAGGTTTATATAAGATAGTTAATAAGATTATAATATTTATGTAAAAAGAGTTAAAAATTAATAATAATTACTTCTATTAACTAATATATTTTATAAATAAAATTAAATTATATTAAAACTTAAAACCTATAAATTAATAAAAAGAAATATAAAAATAGTAATAACTTATGTAAAAAGTATTTATTATAATATGTATTATATATTAATATTTTATATAAATTATTTCTTTATACTTTTAATCTTATTTACCAGCTTTAAAACCTAAATTACTTATAAGATTATCTTTTATATCTTAGGCTATTATTTAATTATCTTATATTTAAAAAAAGAAAAATATAATTATTACTTAATAGCTCTGCTTTGTTATCCTCTAAACCTATTTCTACTAATTCCTAGAAGTGCTAGTATTATTACCTTATTTATATAGCCTTCCTCTATATAACTCCGTAATTCAACGGCACACCATGCAGCCATTCTTGCGCTTTGACGGCCTGCAAAACGGCATAATATTTTAAAAACTAACATACAGAGTTCCTCGGCCGTGGTTTCCTCGAGATTCACTTATGGCATAAGACTGAATAATAGTTTCTTTTAGGGCCATGCATGCATACATAACAAGTAACTGCTAAGGCTTGGCACCTTGCCAGTAAGACAGAGCTATTCCCGATTTGTAGGTTAATCTAATTGCGTGTCTATTACCCAAGTTAATCCTTGCTACATGGTTCATGGTCTGCTTGCAAGGCTGTCAGTTAACTTTATAGGAGTTAATCAAATAATAGTAACATTTCCATTCTTTTCTCTGATATCTATAGTTGGAGCACACTCTGTTACATCCATCGTCGCCCATGACTAAATAACTCCCGTATACGTAAGAAGACACACCTCAAGTGGTAAACCTATTATCACTGAGTGCTAAGTGCCACGAAATAGAGGACTCGCTTATTAAATAAGCTTCCTGTAACAATCTTCACCTGCTAATAAGTACTTTCTGCAAAGCTCTGCAAACCAGCTAATCTGCAGAATGGTTTGCCTCATATGTCGGTGCACAGCTGACATGCATATCGAAAATTTGCCATTATATCGGTTGGCTGAGCAATTGAGGGCCAGCGCACCAGCGGTAACCTTGGATGCTCTCCTTGGGTTGCAACCCATGGTGTTATAAACACAACATCCAAGGTCCATGATAATAAACCAACCAATCTCAGTGAATTTCCAAGGCACAGGGCCATCTGGTGTTTGGAAATTATTAAGAGAAGTAACGAAGAGGTAGAAGTGTTCGACCCGTCAAGGCCCCCAGCTGCGTTGTGGTTTTTAAGCCCTGGAAGATCTGGTTGACGGCAGAGTCCGGACGGCATGGGCTTATGCTCAGATAGGAGTCAAACGGGAGACAGAGGAACAGAGCCGCCGTCTGGAACGGCAACGTCACAATCGATCGGGGAGAGACCAGCGTTAGCTGTATTTGATGGGGAGACGAGGCTCCGGAGGACCAGTGCAAGAGTGGACTTGTGGCTTCGTGCTCCATCCTGTTACGGGCGAAACATACATACAATCCACGTCATTGTCCGTCATGGCGTCCAATATATGTCTGCAGATGATCAATAGCCTCTAAAACTCGTTGGGCTGCCGTAACGAGGGCCTGGGGGAGATACAGCAAACTCGCTTACGAAAAGTCTACCAAAATCCCAGATCTCGAGTCGGTGTTTTCTTTTTCCCCTAAAATTGTTCATATTTGATACTGTATTAGGTCAGCTCGGTGTGCCGGCTGTATCCTAAGCATCGGCAAAAGACTATTCTGGATGCCGGTACCGGTACCCGACTCCGCTTCATCTTTAAGCCTTTTTCTAAGCGTGACGTCATAGGCATACTGCAGCCAACACGGGAAGTTAATGAGACGGAACGACGCATGATATGATGTTTCAGGGACGGCACAGGCCTGTGGTAGTGTGTTAGGTCTGGTGTAATGGGTTGGCTAGGCCCTACCGTTTCTTTGACTCACAAGCACGCGCGCCAATGGTAGCAGGGCGAGAGCTGGCACAGCGTCGGCTTAAGCTCAATATTTGCTGGCATTCCTGCTTCAAATTCCTGGATCTCCCACCTCACGCGCCCTCCTACATGTTTGACAGCGCAAGGCTCAATATCCACGCTTTTATTTCAAGAATTCAAGCAGTATCTGTCAAATCGACTGCCGCCCCTTATCTTAGGACTTATCCAATCATTGACTTCGTTTTACCGACTTGAGCCAACAACATACTGGTGGCTCCCCAATCTGAGATTCTCTACCGAGCCCTCGAATTACTTAGCATCCAGTTCATTATTGGTATACTATGAACAGATGGTGGTGGTGTTTACCGTTACTTGATTAATCCATAACCAGCAACATAGCAATATTGCTTTTCAGTATCCAGTCGAGGCCTCCCAGAAGTCAATATGGAAGCCACGGAGTTAGTTGAGAACAAGCCTACCGCCCGTCCATTTCAATGTGGTTGGCGATCCTGCACAAAGGTATATTGTCTTTACCTTGATAGTGACAGTCGCAATCTAATAGCTGGCATAGAGCTTCAAGCGTAAGAGTGATCTCCAAAGACATTATCGAATCCACACGAATGAGCGACCGTACGCATGCTCGATCTCGGGATGCGGAAAGACCTTTATCCAGAAAAGTGCCTTGACTGTTCATATTCGAATACATACTGGAGAGAAGCCGCACCAATGCGAACATAATAATTGCGGAAAGCGTTTTTCTGATGTATAACTTGACTGATATCTATAAGCCTATAGAATGCTAATGAAATTTCAAAGTCCTCAAGTTTAACTCGTCATCGACGTATCCATACGGGCGCACGTCCGTACAAGTGTACCTATGATGGTTGTTCTAGAAGGTAAGACGAGGAATGTCTTGGTCTACCCTAAGTACTAACACATGATCTAGCTTCTGTAGAAAAGCTACGATGGATGAGCACCAACGGAGATCGCACCAGCACGGAATGAATCCTAATGAAATCCTACAGGATTTCTCCTCAGATTCAGAAGACAACGAGCCTCCTCTGACCCCCCAGCACTCCGCAATGACCTGGTCTCCTCGTGATATGGTATCTATGGACCAAGCCATTCCGGACGGCCCGATACATCGCCCGCCTTCGTATGCCGACTTTGATCAACCAGTCCATGGCCAGCATACTCCACACCAATACGACAATCGACACGGCATTTCTTCAAATGCGCCTCGCAAGTCCCACGGCCAAACCCTACTGGGCTATCATGTCGGGGCTCCAACACCTCGTCAAACCATGACAACGCCAGGGCAAATATACCATATTCCTGAGCGGGGTAATCCAGGGATTCTGACGATGGCGAATACTGCAGGACCTCATCAGCAGCTCCCTCACCAAGTAGAAAGGCCTCATACAGAGTTACTGTATCCCACCTTAGCCATCGCAGCCCCGACTCGAACTAGCCCCAGGACCTTTTCTACAAAGTCGGTTCCTAGCTCCGGAGTTCAGGAATGCCTCTGCAAGTATCTGCTCAAGCACGAGCCAGAATACGCGCAGGCGGACACCCAAAAATCCATCATCCCATTTCAGCAATATATACACAACCTTATAAGCCAGCCCCAGCAGCCAGTGACCTCTCAGGCACAGACGATTCACAGGCTTGCAGCTAAACACTCCCCTCGGATATCTGCTCAGGTCCAAGAGGAAAACTGGTCAAATGATGTCCTTTCGACCGAAGCCACGACTATCAGGCATTTGCCGGCATACGGCAACGCGGTTTATGATCCTTATGAAGCAAAGATCGAATTTGACAATGCTTTGATGCAACTGCAAAGCAGAAGACTTGTCAGTATGTAACTAACCTATATCCCTATTATCTGTCTTATTTTTTATAAAAGAGGAAATTTACTACCTCTTATTGGTATATATCCTTATTAAATCCTCTCTTATTAAATAAGGGATAGAATTTTAAGAGGCCTTAATAAAGTTTTATAATTATTAGTATAATAATTATAATATTAAATAAAATAAAAATAACTTATAATTATATTATATAACATAGCCTAATGTATTTTATAATTAATTATTTATTAATATTATAATTATATTAAAAAAAGCCTAAATTAATATAAAAGAAAAACTATTTATTATATTAATAATATAATATAATACTTTAAAGTTTAAGTATTATAAAAATCTAATTATAAGATAATATAGTTAATAAGTAAGCACTCTAGATAAATAAGCACTCTACTTTTTAATATACCCTTTATTATCTATATAATAAAGTTATTATAACCTATCTAATTAATTAAAATTACTTACTATACTCTTCTCTAAATAAGTCTAGAACTACCTAATAGGTCCTTAAATTATACCTACCCTTATTATATATACTATAATACTAAATACCTAGTCTAATTAACCTCCCTTAATTATTACTTCTTAATAATTTAATAGCTACCTATATATTAATATTTATCTAATTAATTACTTATAATACTTTCTATATAATTATAATCTCTTCTTTCTATAGTTTAGTCCTTTTTACCCTTTAGTGCTAACTTAGTATCTTATTTGCCTATTAAAGTTTTTTATTTTTAGTAGCTAATAAGGTAATCTTATATATAACTGCCTTAGCTCTCTTTAAAAGAGACTTAAGAGCTTTAAGAATTAACTCTAGAGAGCTACTTTAATATTACCTAATTTACCTACTAATATATTTAAACTAAGATTCTATTTCTTATATTATATTTAGGGTCCTTAAAGCCTATAGGGTTAATAGTTAAGTGGCCTCCCTAGGAGGTATTAAGGTCTATAACTATATATTAAGCTTTAAGATTATAGTTTCTAGGTTAAGAGAAGTAAGCCTAGCTCTTTTAAAACCCTCTTAGATATTACTTTTTATAAAAATAGCTTTTTAAGTAATATAAAAGGCTAAGAAGAACTTAGTCTTAGAAATAAAGGTTATAAAGTATCTAATTAAATATTTTATTTCTTAATTATAAGCCTATTTTAATACTATAAAGTACTTAATATTAAGAGGCTAAAGTAAATAAGATATATAAGTAGGTATATAAAGTATAATAATCTTATAATCCTAATAATATCTCTTAAAATCAGCTAAATAATAGCTTTTATAATTATTAAGGATTAGGAGATAATATTAAGTATTTAATTATTTAATTATAAATTAATTAAAATACTTTAACTACTTAAGACCTAGCTTATTATTTATCTATTTATTTTAGCTTATTATAATAACCTAATTACCTAAAAGGTTATATTCTTAGTATTAATTAATAAGGTAATATTAGCCTAAACTAATAATAAATAATATAATTAATTAACCTTTTATATTAATTACTTAAATTATAATAATTTATTCCTAGTTTCTAGGCGATATTAATTTTAGCCTTCTTTTGTCACAGCGCAAGACCAGACTAGGTTACCCTAGACCGACAGGCCAAGTGGATCTCAGTCACGTGGCGATACGTTATCGCAGAAGATCCTGACCGACCGCCTGATAGCTCCTGAACGTAGC